TTCTTTTCTCCAAGTTCAGGATTATAAAAATTGGGGGGATTTTGGAAATAATACTATCACTCTCTACCAGTTCCCCGTACAAAGCATCACAGTAGTCAGCTAACATAGAACCATCTCCCTTTAGCACCATGCATGTAACTTTCTGTTAAGGCTTCATACCACCTATGTTAGTGCCGGTTTGAAGTATCTGTCATTTAGACCTTAAGTAGGCCTTTTTTAGGAAAGCAGGTTCTATCTAGCATCATTCCATCAATTGATAACTGGAAGGGTGCTGGTGTAAGCTTATGAGATGGTGCTGGTGAACTAAATCCTTCGGAATACCTGAGGAGTAGATAATATCACGTAGAATGAGGTTATCTTTTATGTCTATGCAGAATCAAAAAAGGAACTGGTCCTAGAAAAGAACCCCAAGTGGGAGGCACTGACTGAAGTACTGAAAGAAATTGAGGCCGAAAATAAGGAGAGCGAAGCCCTTGGTGGCCCAGGTAGGAATAAAGGACATGATGACATTTGCTTTCAGAGGCTTTCAAATGAGCCTTAATTTGACAAGCTCTTTAACTATTTTGTTTATAAACTGTAGCTGAATAAATTCCAGTAGAATGCAGATCCTACAGCAGTCTCCGTTCTATTCCTTTGATGTGATTTTTCTCCAGGTTAAATCATTGTGCATTCATGAAGCAGGTTTTTCACTGATTGGGTTATCAGGACTTCTATTTAAAGATTCAGCTAATCTCTGCATATATATTCACCAGGCCTTCAATCTGGAATCCCTAAGGAATAAGCCAATGGGTTTGTGTTATAACTCAGCAAAAGAGGCTTAACTCCTGTGGAGTGACATTGGGCTAACCCTAGAAAAAAATACAAATTTTAGGCCTGCTGTCTTCAAACATGGGTATTCTAGTAGATTGGCACAATAGACCAAACATGAACTATAAATTTAAAAATAAGACCAGATCAAAAAGAAAAGTATCTATTGAGTCTCTGAACTCCTACAAAGCAACCAAGGAGCACCCAATCCTTGTGTTAGTCAATACACTGATAATAATATCCCATGCCATGATTTATGACCCAGGGTCATAGGTGCTCACTGCAGAAAAATGAAAAAGATAAAGAAAGGGAGAAGGAGAAATTGCCTCTAGCAGCTGATGTTAACATTGGTGTGTTTCTTTCCAGGTTTCCTTTCAAGAGTTTTTTATTCCACACTATTAAAGTCATTAGCATAGTGAATAATTTTTGGATAGAGAATTAATGGGTCAAATGGAATTAACATTTTTAAAGTTCTTTAGACATATTATCGCACCAATTTCTATCAAGTTCTCATTTCTTTTAGCAACCTAAGAGCTTATCTCTTTTTAACCTAGCTGTTTGTCATGAGTACTCACGTATCTGTACATATAGTTTATATACATCTATCAGTTTTATTAATTTGATTGAAGAAGATGTTTTAAATTTTGATATCTGATAAGCTCCATAGTTTCTGAAATGCATTTTTTTCTTCTGTGAATCGTCTTCATTTCCTTGGCCAATTTAGACCATGTCCACAGTTTGTATTAGCTCTTTATACAGTAAAGATTACTAACGTTCGTCATAGTTATTAAAAGTTCTGTGACTTCACCTTTCTTAAATACAGCTTTCTGTATTATTCTTATAAAGTAAAGACAATGGTCTCTAGGGGAAGGTTGTTGTTTTGAGCTGCTGAGGATCAAACCCAGGGCCTGCCAGGCTAGGCAACTCCTCTGCCACTCCTTTACCACTGAGCTACACCCAACCTCTTCCACTGCTTTTAAGTCTAGATCATCATCTCCATCAAGAGATGGATAGTCACTTCTTTTTTATTTTTTTTTTTATTTATTTCATTTTTAAAAAATTTTTTTAGTCATAGTTAGACACAATATCTTGATTTTATTTATTTACTTTTATGTGGGGCTGAGGATTGTACCCATCACCTCCCACGTGCTAGGCCAGAGCTCTACTGCTAAGCCACAATCCCAGCCCACTTCTTTTTCTTCTCGAGTTAATTTTTAACATTTGACTTTATAATCCATTTGGAATTTATTCGGGCGTAAAAGATCCTCTGCAAAGTTATTAATTAAAAAGAGCTTCCCTAAAGCCACTGTTGGGCTGCGGCTGTACTTTCCATGAGACTCTAAATAGCTCTGGCTTCAGCTTGACACAGAAGATTTAAGAAACCCCGACAAAGAGGGAAGGGAAAGGCACGCAGTGCGCACCCAAGACCCCTTTTAGACCATTTGTAACTGGTGGCTCCATTAGAGGAGGCTGAGGTGCCTCTGCGTTGGAGGGAGCAGTGGGGCACGTGGGAAGGGACCGGCGCCATCACCAGGTAACGCTCTTGCCTGCTTCTAGGCCAGGTGCTCATCTGTGCCAGCGACGAGCGCACGTGCGCGCAGCTGCGGGACTACCTGACCGCGGGCGCCGAGGCCCTCCTGCTGAGGCTCTACAGGAAGACCTTCGAGAAGGACAGCAAGGCTGAAGAGGTGTGGCTGAGGTTCCGGAAGGAGGACGGCTCCAAGAGAGCCGCGAAATCCCACAAAAGACCCAAAGAGCCCCAGAACAAAGACCGGGCCTCCGCCAGGGACAGGGGTCTCAAGAAGAAGAAGCGAAAGTTGACGCTGACGCAGATGATGGGAAAGTCGGAGGAACTGGAAGAGGCCGCGGACGCGGAGGAAGGTGACCGCCGAGAAGCGGGCAGCAGCCCCGAGAGTGGCGAGGAGGAGGTGAAGCACGAAGCCTTCGATGTCAATCTGTCCTCGGATGCCGCCTACGGGATCCTCAAGGAGCCGCTCACCATCATCCACCCACTGCTGGGCTGCAGTGACCCGTACGCGCTGACCAGGGTGCTGCACGAAGTGGAGCCGCGGTACGTGGTGCTCTACGACGCAGAGCTCACCTTCGTCCGGCAGCTGGAAATCTACAGGGCCAGCAGGCCCGGGAAACCTCTGAGGCAAGTCACAGAGAACACTGGCCGTTTGCTTACCTCCCACGTCCCACTGTGACCACGCAGGTTGGGCTTATGGAACCTTAGTTTGCTTTTTGATGAATCTGAGCAGCAGGGGACGAATGTCAGATGCAGTAGCAGAGCATCAGACCTAAGGGACTCCCCCTGTTCTTGTTGCCCTGCACAGTGTTCTTTCTGTGATAGTTTCCAACGTAGGGGGCGCAGTATAGTGTTTTAGCATTCTAAGTTCTACCAGAAGTTATAACTATGACTTGGCTGAATCATTTTAATCTTATAAAATGTCTTTCTTACAAATTTTAATAAGTGACTCTCTAAATTACATCCGCATAAAATGAAAGCATTTGGAGGGGGGATTACTATACCCAGTTTTCTTGAGTTTCAAGAAGGATCAAATGAGAAATCTACAGAAATACCACATGAGAAAACGATGCCTCCCAAGGAATACAGTGTTCTAGCTCTCCACTTATCTGAGGGGAAATAAACAGCAAAATTAATATCCTGAACTCAGCCTGAACCAAAAGCAGAGCCAAAAGAAACCTTTCTCGCAGTCTAACTAATGCAGCCTTTCAGAGTGGAGATGAATGGAGGAGCTGGATCAGAAATAATGCAGAGATAAAGAGATTAGATGAAGCTGGTAAAATCACTACAGGCTGGTAAATTTTTCATACTTTACTCTCGATCAACTTTGTAGCTAGTGTGTATGTAGAAATTTCTTTCTTGTCTGAGCACAGAATAGCATATTATCTGGAGCAGAAGAGACCCCAGGGTACAGCTACCAGCTCTGTCAGTGGGAAACTAAGGCCCAGAAGTGGCGAGGGACTTGGCCTTAGCCACAGGATACATCCACAGGAGAGCCAAGGCCCCTTAACTCTTTGCCCACTGATTTCCCTGTCTGTTGGTCAGAGAAACATAATCCAGGAAGATGAAGGCTAAAAGAAAAACCAAGGCTGAAAAGGGAGAGTACCTCTGATAAAGAAAACCACTGAGGAGCAGAGGTGCTCAATTCAGCTTTTAGCTGCAAACAAGATATATTAAAAGCAGGCCTTTTTACGAGAAAATATATCAAATTATTTTTTGAGATGCCTAATAGAATCCATATGTCCTTTCCATCCATGTACTTATATAAAATGTGTGACGGCTCTGTTCTGTTAATATGTGAATAAAAGAAAACCAAGAAAGTATTGTGAAGGTAAAGGTCATATAGATTCATCTGTTTATTTTTCACCAACGTGACCTTTTATAAGCCGGTTTTTATAACTCTTCTCCAGCTTAAGTTTGGCAGAGATGCAGAGAAAAAATTAAAAAAAAGAGAAGCCTCTAAAATTCTGTTTTATGTTTATGAGGAAAGAATTATTCTATCCCTCCAGATAGATTTCAGTATTATCCTTCACTCTGTTCCCCCATTTGATGAAAGAATTTAAAAAAAAAAAAAAAAAACCTCTTTGGGTAATGAGACCTTTGACAGGTGGGGTTTAGGCTGCTGAATTTGACTAAGTACGTAATGAATGGTAACTTTGATTCTTAGTCAAACATTTATTATTTGAGCAGTCTGGGTTGCTGGTTTCAGATGCTCTGCTGCTCCTTTCATGGATTAAAAAGTGCGTTCCTGCAGCCTAAAGGAGTTCTGTCTTGACTTGCAGGGTTTACTTTCTCATATATGGAGGTTCCACAGAAGAGCAACGCTATCTCACCGCTCTGAGGAAAGAAAAGGAAGCTTTTGAAAAACTCATAAGGTACTCCCTCAATGATCAGCATGGATGTCTCGAGAACACCGAGGGCCTTTTACAGGCCAGGGGCCTCTTGGGTGGGGGAAGATGCACCAGCCCTGGGCAAAAGGGGAGGGGGAGGATGGGTAGTGGGGTCCAGCCAGGGTGTCCCCAGACTGTGCCTCTTGCATACTTGCCTTTTCTTCCTCCCTTTCCCTCCCACCATCTCCACTGCTCTTCAGCAGTTTAGTTAGTAGAGCACCAGTTGTGTTCCCTACGTGGAATGCTTCAGACTAGAAGTTTTGTTTCGTTTTTTCTTTTTTTTTTTTTCCCCAGATTTTGGAATATTGGCACATACATAATGAGATATGTTAAAATAGGATCCAAGTCTAAATACAAAGTTCATTTATGTTTCAAATGCACCTTGTACACATAGCCTGAAGGTCATTTGAGACAGCTTTTGTAGCACACCTGCTTTTCGACTGCACCCCAGGACGGAAGTCAGCTGGGGGATGTTTCATTTGTACTATCATGTCAGCACTTAGACAGTTTTGGAACATTGTGGATTTCAGATTTTCGGATTAGGGATGCTGGGGCCTATATTGGGAAAATGTTAAAGAAAACTTCTGCTTCTAAAAAACTATAATAGGAAACATCCAAAATCTTACTAAAACATTGCTTCTTTAAGAAATGTCTTCTTAAATCTCCCTCCTCCCCACCTTATGCACAAGATTCCTCCTTTTCCATTGAATTGTGATATTTTTTTTCCCCTCCTTGTAAAATCTCCATTGTCCGTAGGTGGGTGGCTACTTTTACCATTTACTGGGAAATACTTTTATGACCCACCCAGTTCTGATCCCCATCAGTAGAAACATTCCAGGGAGAAAAAAAAATTAAGATGTTGTTTATCTGAACATATGTGTATGCTTTTAATAATGGAGATCTGTAGCATTCCAAATCCCAGTAAAAAATGTTTTTCAGCTTAACATAAGGAAAATGTTTATGAGATATTTACAAACTGGTTGGCTACCTCTTGCCCCTGAAAGCTTTCTAGAAATCTGATGATCCTCCACCAGGGATCTTGTCAATGATCTTGTCATTGGAAATTGCAGTTAGGTATGGGAAGATGATCTCTAAGAGGCCTCAGAAGCCAGGGCCAAGGCTGGATCAGGCATCATTGAGCCAAGCCACAGAGAGGTTAGACCATCAGAGACCATGGCCTGCATGAGTATGGCAGGTCCACACCAGGCTTCCACCCCTCAGACACTGGCGAGGTACCAGTGGCAACAAGAGGGCAAAAATTATTTTTTAGTGGCAGTCAGCCTGCCAGGGCACTAGACAGGATTTCAAAAATGGACAGCCATCCTGCCGCACTGCCTCTAGGTTCTGGGTGGGAATAGTCTATGCCTTCTTGGAGTTTATCCTCCCGTGCAAAAGACCTAGACTCTAAATGACCATAAAGAGCATAATAAATAGGGTTGAGAGCACTGCCAACAGCAAAGGTAAAAGAAAAGATTTAGCAGGAGAGCGGATGGAGGGATCGACCTAGGCCAGAAGCCTGTCGGGAGCAGCTGCAGGAGGCAGGGGTGTTCAAGCTGGTTCTGGAAAAAGCTGTGGGATTTGCCAGGCAGATGGGGTGGAAAGCCGGTCACGCTGAACAAAGGGCCCGGGAGTGCGAGCTGAGGCCCACTGAGGGTTTGGGACTTCAGGGCCCAGGACAGCACTGCAGTGCTCTGAGTGGGAGTGTGACTTAGGTGAATTTGTAAAGGTTTTCCCTGACGTGAAACTGAGAAATGAATCAGCGTGGAAACTAGTCAGAAGGCTGATGTGATTGTTGGGTGAGAGAAGGTGGCCTGCATCACTGGGTTAATGGAGAGGACGGGACAGATTTAAGAGATATTTAAGGAGCTAGAATCAAAGAATTGGTGATGTGGGCCAGTACCTCCTACCCATTTTTTCACTCTTTTTTAAAAAAACATCCTCTCCCTATATTGTCTCTAATTAAAATAATTGTCACCAAATCACAAATGAACACCGAGAGCTAAAATATTCAGATTAGGGCATTAGTGTTCCCCTCAAGGGTCCCCAAAGCCGCTCTGAGACTCACTGGTTCTCTAGAAGGATTCATGTGACTCAGAAAGACTGTGATGTTCACAGTTGGGTTTATTACAGCAAAAGGATACAGATTAAATCAGCAAGGGAAAAGACAGGCAGGTGACATCCAGGAAAACCAGGATTATGCTTCCAAGTGTCCTGCCCTAGAGTCACAGAGATGTGCTTAACCCTCCCGGCAGCCACGTGCGAACGCACGGGCCAAGATTGGCCACAGAGAAACTCAGAGAGCTTTGGCCTCCAGGGTTTTCACGGGGGCCCAGCCACGCAGACCCCAAACCTCAGAGCAAAACCAGGCATTCACCACGAGCCACATTTTTAGCATAACTGTCTAATCAAACGGGGACAAGGGGACATGGGCCCAAGGCCTCAGGCATTCAAAGCCCTCTTACCAAGAAGAATATTCCAGGGGTCATCACTCATGAGCCAAAGGCCATTCCCAAGGAGACAGGCCTGTCTGGGAAGTGGGCAGTTTGAACATCTCCTGTCAAGTGAATTAACCCTTTCCCCGCAGGGCACGGTGGCCAGAGGAGCTTAGACCGCCAGGCAGGCATCGTCCGAGGGGGTGGGTTTTCTGTACCAGCCTTTAGTTGTGTGGCGGCCTCTTCTCTGATACATCAGGAACCTAATTGAGCAAATGGTACTTTTAGTAGGTAGTGGTCAGGTCCAGGGGACCCCATGTCACTCCTGGTTTATGCTCAGTGACATATAAGTGAACCCCCGCACCTAGACCTCACCCAGCAGAACCTGGAACATGGACTCCCCCACTTCAATGGGACAATGTTTCCACATCAGGTTTTACTCTAATTTTATTTAAGATCCACCATAACTTTTTCTATGGCAATTGCCTACTTGCTATAAATGAAATCTCCCATATTACACAACAGTCAGATGGTTCTGCTATCTAGAATCCTAAGATATTTGCCTTCCCAGAAAACTTGGGGAATTTGAGAGGTGTTTGTTTAGAAAACGGCATTTGAGGTGTCTCTCTGCTGAAAGAGCATTTCCCCCACTCTGTACTTAGAAGAAAATTGAACATGAGAATAAGATAATGTGCTTTTGCCAAGGCCTCCATGGGTGGTGTAAGAACAAAAGCAACACTCCTATTTAACCAGAAGGGAATGGATCAGGCAAACTGGCAGGGGAAGAATTGTTTGGCTGTGTTAAAGATGAGTAGATTACAGATTGATAAGAGAAAAGAGACCACACTGCTAGGTATTGATAATAAAATGTTCCCAGGGTAGAAAACTGTAAGATCCTCAGCATGCAAAGTCTTGAGGAGGTCACTGCTTTTCAAAGGAAGTGGTGAGACTATTGGAAATTTTACCGTTAGAAGATACAGTCACAAGCTAGGTTAGCTGGAGGGCTTGAGTAAGTGCCCATTTGAAGAGAGACTTCTAATACAGCACCTCCTTCCTATATTAAAATATTGTGCAAGCTGTTCAGATGTCACTGAAAATATCAAAGCAAAAGCAGGAGCCCTCAGTACTTTAGATTAAGCAGAAGCAGGACGCTGAATTTCCAAAGTTATTTTGTGTCTATCTCGCAGATTAACTCCGATAGTTATGCTGAACGGGAGGACAAGGAATCAAAGGTTCACAATGAGGGCAAGTTCCTGATGAGTGAATCTGAGAGACTGGTTAGGAAGGTTTATCTTCCTCAGAGTCCAGGTTTCATTTCTGGGGTATATTTTTTTTCCTCACAAATGGAAACAGTCATGGAATCATTTGAAATCATTCTGGGTATTTTAGCGTAACCCTGGATGTTTCGGGGATGCAGTTACGACATTCTAAGGATAATACAGCAGTCCTAACAGCCACACTGATGCTGCAGTTATTCTGTGCCAAGCACTGTTCAGAGCAGCTTACGTGTCTAATGCAGTCCTCAGAGCAGTCTTTTGAAGTGAGTTTTATCATTAGCCCCATTTTACAGATGAAGAAATTGAGGCACAAAGCCATTAAATGACTTGCCTAAGGTCACACAGCCAGCAAGTGGTTCAGATTCACATGACATGGAACAGGGTCTGCCCCCCACAGGTGACAGACCAATCAGGAAATGGGGATGCCGGCCCTCATGTGATATGTAGCTTAGCTAGTAAAATAAGCAGAAATAAAGAGGGGAGAAAAAAAGAACAAAAACAATGAATTTGGTAATTCCAAATGTTCAAGGAAAAAAAAAATTTATAGGAGCAAAAATTTTCTTGCCTGATTAGCCTTTTGTCCTAACCAGCGTGTGGCTGTGGTGGAGCAGCAAGCATGGCCTCCCCAGCCATTACCAAGGTGAGGACGGTCCAGCGGGGAGAATGAGGAAGAAAGCACAGCTAGAACTTTGTCTGCCCCCTCACCATCTATTTATGCTGAACTGAGAATAACTTTGCATCTGTAGATGCTTTCAAATAGTCTAGAATTTAAAATTACAATTTCTGTTCTTTAGTGGTATTTTAAATGGTATTCTGCTCTAAAACATCATTTATCCAGAGTGGCTGAAGAATTGGTCCGTTTGATTTCATTTCCTTTAATCAGAAAATCTCAGTTGCTCCGACCCTTGCTGAGGTTGGTTAGTACTGACCAAGCCCCTTCTGCCTCGCCTTACTCTGGCCTGTTCTGCTGCAGTTCCTCAGTCCTGCGAGGTTTTTCCAGGGCTTTGTTTGTTTCCTCAACTCGGCTACAAGCCCCTGGAGGGAAGAGGCCCAGCGACTCTGTCTCTTCTGTCATACCTGGCACAGATGGGACACTCAGTACTCGCTGTTTCATGAGTTAATTATAGCATCCTTTACTGGTTTTGAAAAATGAGTACAGCAAACCCAGGATACTCTCGCGGTGACTGCTGAGGAACGTGTCATGCCATAGCTTTGAGTTGCAAGCCTTAGTTAGAATTGTGATCTGCAATCACAGACAGAGACTGAGCTACCTTGAAGTTAGGGGTCCCTGTACGGTGGTGTCTGCATCCCAGGGCCTAGCCCAGCACAAGGGGCACTGCACAGTGTCCTTCAGTGGATACCCGAGTGATGGTCGAACACTACTGCTGAGGTATAGCATACTGAGATGTTGATTTTCTGTTTCCATCTCTGGTAGAAATTTGGTTCATGCATGAACCTGCATTTCCCTTTAAAATTGAGGGTGCTTAAGGGAGCCACCCACCTGGAGATTTTTAAATCAAAGTGCTATCATATGTGTGTTTTCATTTTCTTAATCATTGATTTTCTAACCTCTAGTTAATGAGTACCCTGAAAAAAAAATATATATATATATATAAATGATTTCATTTTAAGTACCAATAACATGTTAGCTTTGCACACAGCTTCAAATCAACTCTAACATTTTTTACATGCATGTTTATTGTCTCAAAATACTTGAATATAGAAAAAATTTATAAATAGCTGGGGTTTTATTTATTTTTTTTTTTTAACTCTAGAGGATCAAGAAGTAGCACCCAACCAAGAAATTCTTCCCGCTCCCTTCACCCATCACGTGCACCTGTGTGTTCCCTTCCGATGTATTTCTCGTACTCTCTTTTACAGTGACAGTCACGTAGATCACATCAGATACGAAAATTCTCAAAAGATTAAAATCTAGAATTTCGAAATCAATTCAAAAAAATGTGTCAAATGTTTCCTCCCCCAGGGAAAAGGCGAGCATGGTCATCCCTGAAGAGAGAGAAGGCCGAGACGACACCAACCTGGACCTTGCAAGAGGCGCAGCATCGACAAATGCGTCCACCGACACCCGCAAAGCCGGTGAGTCCTGCCCTCTGCCAAGAACCTCTGTTGCCCGGAAGGAGCTTGGCTTTTCTCCAAAAACTCCTAAAAACAGAGATGGGGCCAGGGAGAGGACATCAGCTCCCACACTCCAGCCTCGGTTCTGCCATTTAATAGCCACACATCTTCCCCAGAACAAAGCCACTGTGCCACCTGTAAAACACATCAGGTTGAGTCCCGTGCTCCTAAGCTTAGAAGTGGTTGTGTCCAGTATTAGATCTAGAACCGCTGATTGAGACTCAGAATGCTCTTTTCCAAAGAAACTTTGGTGGATGCTGATTAGGTTTTGGTCTTAAATCAAAAAAGCCAATTTGACCCCCAGCTGAGGGGATTTCTCCCTCCTTCCTCTGCCTCTCCCTTCAGGTGTATACCTAGGGGAGTTACTCTGGGCACAGACATCCCAGGTGTCTGGCAATCTCGTTTCTATGCAGTATTTGCACTGGCATGCTAACAAGTTCTGCCGAAGGCCAAGTACACCATGAACCAGAAGTAACCATTTCCCACACCCAAGTCCCCATCTTCCCATGACAGCAGCTGGTGGGGCTGAAAGTCCAGCTCAGTGGTAGTGATTGCCTAGCATGCACCAAGGCCCTGGGTTCCAGCCCCAGCACAACAAAAATAAAAAATAAAAATAAAAATGTAACCCATGAAAACAGCTAGGGTTGGCCAAGCAACATGAGAAAAACAATAAAATTGAGTTGATTTAACTACTGGTGAGGTCAGGGCCACTGAGACCACTGGGTCTCAGAATTTAGAAGACTCCAGAGTAACCTCAAGTGCTTCCAGAACTGTAGATGCACTGGCCTCCATCCATAGAAACTCTGATTCACTGGGTGTGGAATGGACTCTGCATCTCCTCTGATGGAAGTGGTCCTTGGACCATGCTTTGGGAAACACTGCCTCAGAACATCTGTGTCTTTTTTGATAAGATTCTTAACAACTCATCAAGGTTGGTGACATTTCATGAAGGACTGCAGAGTGGAAGACACTATGAGAAGGATATATAAGAACATGCAGGTACCACACAGAAGTCTCTTAATGGAAGTCTGCCCTTTTGAGTTCCATCCTTAAAGCCTCTGTATGAGTTTCCTATTGCTGCTGTAACAAATTCCCATAGACTTGGTGGCTTGAAATACCATGCATTTATGGTCTTGCAGTTCTGCAGGCAGGTCAGAATTCCAAATTGATTTCAGTAGGCTAGGATAAAGATCCAGCAGGGCTGTGTCCCTGCCAGAGGCTCCAGTAGAGAATCTCTTTCCCTGTTTTTTTTTTTTTTTTTTTCCAGTGCCTAGAAGCTATCTGCATTCCTTAGCCCATAGCCTCTTCCTCCACCTTCAAAGCCAGTACTACAATGTCTTCTCTCCTCTCTGACCCTCCTCCTTCCCTCTTTCACTTTTAAGGACACATGGGCCTACTCACATAGTCCAGGATAATCTCCCAATCTCCAGATGCTTAACTTAATCACATGTGCAAAGTCCCTCTGACCATGTCAAGTGTCTTATTTACACGTTGCAGAGATTGGGGTGTGGGCATCTTTGGGGGGGCCTTAGCTCTGCAATACCCTCCATAGCTGTAAGTGTAGTCCTTAACAGCAGCATTAGCATCTCCTAGAGTTTTGTTAGAAATGGGGAGTCTTAGGACCCTTAAGTCCCAGCCCTACTCTTTACACCATCCCTGGTGATAGGTGTGTCCATGAGAGCATCAGAAGCTGTGTTCCTGTTTTTCTTGCAGTGTCCTCTTTTCCCAAGGACTGTCTTTTCTCTGGACCCTCTTTTCTCGGGACTCACTGAAATCATGACAGCAGCTCTAAGGCAGTTGACTCAGTGAGCATGCTAAGTGTCTAGTGTGTAGCAGGCTCTGCCCTAGGACTTGGGAGTACACGCCCAGTGCCATGTGGCGAGGGCCCTTGGAGGGAACAAACTGGCGCAAACCAGAACAGACATGTCTGTACCCGTGAGTCATGGCAAGTTAAGACCCATGGAGGCCTCCCGGTTCTGTTTAGTTTTAAGGGAATTCACCTCTGCTTTCTCTATAAATAAACGTCGTAGAAAAGAGAGAAAAATGTGGAATCATGCCACGTGGCATTATGTAACCATCCATCAGAGGATGACAACAGAAACACAGATATTAAACTCTATCAGAGCTCCTCCAAGAGTGTCTCCCCAGTGACACGACTGAAAAGGCTCCTTTTTTTTCTTTTTTCTTTTCGTAGGTGGCCAGGAGCAGAACGGCGTGCAGCAGAGCATCGTAGTGGACATGCGCGAGTTTCGCAGCGAGCTGCCATCCCTGATCCACCGCCGGGGCATCGACATTGAGCCCGTGACCCTGGAGGTGGGCGACTACATCCTGACCCCGGAGATGTGCGTGGAGCGCAAGAGCATCAGCGACCTGATCGGCTCCCTCAACAACGGCCGCCTCTACAGCCAGTGCGTGTCCATGTCCCGCTACTACAGGCGCCCGCTGCTGCTCATCGAGTTCGACCCGAGCAAGCCCTTCTCCCTCACGCCCCGCGGAGCCTTGTTCCAGGAGATCTCCGGCAACGACGTCAGCTCCAAGCTCGCCCTTCTCACGCTCCACTTCCCCAGGCTGCGGCTCCTCTGGTGCCCGTCCCCCCACGCCACCGCCGAGCTGTTCGAGGAACTGAAACAAAACAAGCCGCAGCCCGACGCGGCCACGGCCCTGGCGGTCACGGCCGACGCCGAAACCCTCCCCGAGTCGGACAAGTACAGCCCCGGCCCCCAGGACTTCTTGTTAAAAATGCCCGGAGTGAACGCCAAAAACTGCCACTCCTTGATGCACCACGTTCAGAACATCGCGGAACTGGCCACCCTGTCCCTGGACAAGCTCACGGGCCTCCTGGGGCACGCTGCCAACGCCAAGCAGCTGTACGAGTTCCTTCACACCCCCTATGCCGAAGTGGTGTCTAAAGGGAAGGTGAAAAAGTGAGCAGTCTGGTCGCCCCCCCGACCTGCCAGCCGCCCGGGGTCATGACTGATCACCCGCTCAGTGATTCCTTCCTTTCCAGTGCTTTCAATGACTGTGCGTTCCGTCCCCAAGGTCGGTGGACCAGAAGCCAAGCTTCCTGTGCACGTTGGGCTGAGGTGTCTCTCTCAGTGTCCCTGGCCTCTCTCTCTCCCCCTCCCCGCGGCACTGTCCAGGTCAGGCCCAGTCTATTCCATCTCTAAATGAGGAGTGTCGGGGCCAGACAGAGGTTCTGCCAGTGTCCATAGAAGGCTGCTCCGAAGCAAGCAGGAATCTGTGTCTCCTACACAAACTGATAAGACACACAATCAATCATGTTCTTACCCGGCTCTCTACCTAGGGCCCTCTGGAACCCTGAGAAGGAGCCTCTCTGCCACTCCTCACCAGTTCTTTCCACCACATTTCCTTCAATTTCATACTCCTTGGGGACTTCCTACTGCTAATTTAAGAGAGCCACTTCTAAAACTGGCTGACGAGTCTCCTAACCACCCAAATATATGCAGCACCTACTAGAACTTGGTTATCGGAAACCAGTACTTTTAAGACATGAGATGAATTACCTGTTCACAGAATCGAGTGGTACAGGTGCAGGAGCCCTTAGAATTCTCAGTTCTTGCACATGGTCAGTCTCCTAAATCCCAAAGATCTCTAAGCCCAAATGAATACTCACAGTCTTGTAAAGACTCCCAGTTTTCCCACCTGTCTTCCCTAACTAAGAAACTCATACCACATCCTCTGGAAACACATGGTCCTCTGGGTCCCCATGCCTCCTGTTCCTGTACCAGGCACCTCCTCCTTTTCCTGGGTGAGCTCTCCAACATGAGCAATCCTCAAAGCTTTTAAGATTGAGTTTTCTTTCTTTCCTGTTGAGATAAAAGGATTATAGATAAATGGAAGATCAAAGCATAGAATATATAAAAGCTCAAATGAAATGTATAAAGAGACTAATTCCTTCTAAATCTCCTCCTGATTGACTTAGGTCTGCTTTTTACTGAGGTGTGCATGCAAGGTCTCCATAGCATCTCTGCATTTTTTAAACTTTGATATTTAAACATTATTAACTTAGCCATTATTATTCACTGTTTAGTAACGAGCAGTCAATTTTCTACCTCAAGAGCTGCTGTAGGCATCAGTTCTGCTGTCCCTGTCATCCAGTATAACCTTTGATCAGTGTCAGCTCTTTCTTGGTTGGTCATGACAAACTAGGACAGTGACCCTGGTAACAGAAATGTGTCTTCTCTTTTAACAAAAGCACTTACTTTTGAACCTCTCATTGGCATCTTGATTTGTTAGTACTTAAAAGTATGTTGGTCCCTCACTGTCCGTGGAGACTGGTTCCAGAACCCTCCTGTGGCACCAAATCTATGGATGCTCAGGTCCCTCCTATAAAACAGTGTAGTCTTTGCACACCACCTGTGCACATCCTGCTGTGTATTTTAAACCATCTCTAGATTATCTAAGTATTTAATACAGTGTAAATGCTGGGTAAGTAGCTGTTAGACTGTTCTGTTTAGAGAATAATGACAAAGGGGGGGTGTCTATATACATTCAGCACAAATGCAGTTTTATTTTGTTTCCAAAATCTTTTCGATTCTCAGTTAAATCTACGATACAGAACCCTTGGATACAGACTGTGGGTTTGGAACTCCCTACAGGGCACATCAGGAAAGAATTGAGGGGTATCAAGAGCCAGTTTGATGACCATGAACTCCGTGAGGTGATGTAGAGAACAGTGAAGGAAACAGGTGGAATAAAGATTTGAGCTACTAGTTTTGTCCCAGGGATAAAACTATACCCTCCAGGGTAAGAAACAAACCCACTGAATGATGACAACATTAATTGTTGGCATTCACTTCTGTATTTATTATTTTATGTAAGAGTTTAATCATAGTGTATTGACCACTAAAATAGACATACCACTTCAAATGACAATGGTCATTGTCACATTTCTTCACCCTAGCCTAGCACTTCAGCCTCGGGTATGTAATTTCTATTTTTTTCTTCTTGTATAATTCCACCTGCCTTTTATTGTTGTATCATTACATAAAACAAAAATCTTCACATAGTGTGTTCCATGATGGGGGTTTCATTCCAAGCGTTCAAAACTTAAGTCCTTCTGAGAGCTACCATATTAAGCAACCCATGTCATCCGATACAATGTGGATAACAGTCTCAACTGTATTTTTTTCCAGTGTCCCTTAACTCTCAAAATCTGCTGCCTGCTCTTGTACCTACGGGGACATGAGGACAGGTACACCGTCTCTTGTATGTTTGAATTTCGACCAGTAATTTCTAATGAACTTTAATTGGTCATTATAGGTGAAGGACTCTCCCTGTTACTTCCTCTCCCAACTAAATGAGTGTATTTTAATGTATTTCCAGTTGTGGAAAACTTTCAATATATTCATCAAGTATTTACTTTTCTCAAATTTTTTTATGAATTTTTACAATCAAAGAATCTTTGATAAAGGAACTACAGATGCATGCCGTTGCAAAATTAAAGTATTACTTTATTTTCTAGCAACATTTTACTAACTTTGCCTTTTTCCTTCCAACTAGCAAATATCCAATTTACTGGTGAACTCATATGTAGCTTTTTCAAGACCTTTTTTAAAAGCCAGATAGATCATCATTGCTGTTCTGATTTTACAAGTTTTTTGCCTAAAAACTTGAAAACACATGAAATATTGTGAGAAATCATTTTGAGTTTTGTTTATTTAAATCATAGTACCTCTCTTGATATTCCTTAAAATTACATAGGAAGAAATCATTTTTCATAGTGGCCGTAAATACTGTAAGTCACTGTTTCTTTAGTCTGAGGCTTAGTAGACTGGGTGTCTACTAAGAATGCAATTCCCCAGCTCAGCAGGACCTGAAGATAATTGTCTCTCGTTCATCAACCCATCAGGACACAAAGGAATAAATTCAGGTTTGGTGGTGGTGAGGTGACTTAGTACAAGACTAAGCCTGGGCCTTCAGCAGGAAAACCTTCCCTGAAGCAAATCTGGGGAAAGTAGCCAGAGGAGGGAGTCAGGCATTATTGACCTTTGTTCTTGGTTTTGAAGCATAATTTGATCTTCTTTTTTTTTGGCTCAGAGAACTTTAGGGAAATTCTCCTTTGTCTTCAGTTTAACCTAGAAATGGCCCCTGAAAAACCAACACATTAGGAAGATTCTTTTCTCAGCCTAGAGTATATTCACATGTCACCAGACTCCGAAATGAGTTGTCACTGTGCTTTATTATTTTGCCTCATAGCTATTTCCTTTCCGACCCTGAACTTGAACACTTCATGACCCATCTTTTTAGCAGCCTTTACCACTGTGCTAGTGTTTTTTTTAATTTATGGTTGTGTAAGTCAAGATTTGGATGGGAGGAAGATGAAACTGAAATACATCTATCTGTCACCAATGTGTGTGTGTGTGCGCGTGCGTGCGTGTGTGTGATAAAATGTATATTTATTCAACATCCTCCTCAGTATGTTACAGACAAAGCAAAAATAAAATGTATAGTGAAAGGGCATATATTGCCAACAACGTGTTAGTAAGTATTTAAAATTCAGAGTATCTTTTCTTTTTCATTACGCAGAATAAATGATTAAAGCTGAACATTGGTGAACCACTCACTGCCTGTGCTGTCTGACTTGCTAGTGATCCACTTTTTACAACATCAACATACTCCCCACTTTTTTTTTTGCCATAAATATACTTTTCTGTGGGTTATTTTCACTCTGCAACAATCTACTTAACCAAGGGAAGGAGGAAGTATCCTCCTTTTGAAAATACTCAGTTCTCTGGTACACAATGATTGCACAGTAAACACAGTTCCTGGGACATCTTAAGGAAGGTTAATTTTCCTGGTTATGCCCACCACATGGATACTTGTCCCTTTGACATCAAAATTGGAATTCACTGTAATTTTTTAAGCAAGTTTAATTATTAGTTTACAAATTGACTCAATGATTTAATTATTCTTGATTTGGCTTTAAAATGTAGCTCCATATCCCTTTTTAATGAGACATGGGATACTTTATTACTCAAAATGCTTTAATATCTGAATAAAAATTTCGGCAGCCTAATGAACCTTTTCTTAGTAGTAATGTGACTTGCATTTGTTGAGGCTTTATGCATTCTCATTTAATCCTCAACAAAACCATAAAGATGCTCAATCCTGTTTTACAGGATCAAAGCTGAAACACAGAGAGGTTAAGTAATTTGCCCACAATCACCCATAGTAAATGGTGGAACTGATCAGAAATCAAGTAGTCTGAATCTAGAGCACAGAATGAAACACTGTGGACAGATTTGGGGAAGGAGCAGTTTGTGAGACTGGTTTGTGTCCACTTTCCTATATCTAATTACAAATATGCTCTAGAAAAAGCAAATTGTTTTGCATTTCTTGGCAAATTTATTTCTGCATGTCCCCTAAACCTCCAGGTCCTTGACTTTCTCCTAAACCAGTCTTAACATCTTCCTGATTTCCTAATTAATTCAGTCAAGTAGAATCTTTGACTTCTGGTTTTTTTCTTTTTAATGAGACTTTTAACTTTTTGAAAATTATACTTTGCAAGAGTATTGCCAACATGAGCTCATATAATTCCCATATAATGATAAGACCCACTTCCAACCTCATGCATCCTTAAGTTAAACTGGTCAAGTAGAAGAGAATAACACACACACATACATATATGCTGTGTAAGATATACATACATATATATATATATAATTTTATATATATAATTTCTTAAATATAAAGAGAAGTATAATTGGGTACTATGATATTAATATATTAAAAACTGCAAGTTGATATTAGTTTTAAGAATTCAGACAATTTTAAGAGGCTGGCCCGTTGCTCAATGGACTCGCATTCTATTTGCAAAAGCCCAGTGTTTGATCTGAGTTCCTCCCTTGTGGAGTCATGGATAACCCTATGGGTGTTACAGATTCGTGGATGATAAAAGAAGAATTTTAAATATTCTCAGGGATCTCCCTGTGTGACCACGATATCTCTACACTGAGAAGAACATGACTCTCTGAGGACTGAAAGGTAAACAAAACTCGTGATTTCAAAGGGGTTTCCTGGGATTAGTGAAAATAGTCAATAAACCAGGTCTAGTGAAATAGTGGCATAGCACATTTGAAAGGAACCCTCTCCTATGATTTTCAGCTCTGGAATGTGGTGTCAATTAGAGACTGCCTTTGCCTGAGTGAGAGAGTTGCATCCCCGTGCAACTTAATTTCTGGCAAGGGTGTCACCCGACAGCTTAGGAGAGAAGACAATTGAGTAAAGAAGCGTGACTGGGCAGGTCTGTCCAGCGTCAGCCATTCATTGCATAAGGTGCAGAACTGTCTGGGTTTGATGCTGTTAACAGTCTCTGCCATCAGGGATGCCCAGCCTTGTCATAAAGAGACGTCAAAGCTAGAACATGAGCAAGCAGAATGAAATTGACACAGGAGAGATGTAAGTGCTCTGGAGGTCAGAGGAGGAGGGCAAATCCACAGAAGGACTAGGAGGGGCCTTGGAACAGTGGTGGAAGTCCAGACGGGTCTGAAAGAACAGCTAGGACTTCAACAGACAGATGTGGTGGGGCCCTTCGGTAGAGTCCACCAGCTCAGCAAAGATTCGTGGAAATGGAACAATGGTGTTTGAAGACTTGTGAACAGTGAGGCAGGAGCAACATAGTGGGCCCACCTTGTACCAGGCTCCCGAGGGATAGGATAAGAGGCTTGTCCTCAATTCAGTAGAAAAGCAGAAGGAAAAGATGTGACCAAGAAGTCCATTTGAGTTTGAAATGGAAAGGAACTACTATTAATTGAGCACTTACAGTGTGCCGGGGACTTGATAGTTATTATCATAACCTTACAGCCAGGAGACTGAGACTCTGGAGAGATTGAGAAATTAAAACGACAGCAGAAATAACTGCAAGTTCAAATCACAAAGCTCACCTTCTTTCTCCCACTCCTTGCTGGCTGGCAGGGTGGAATGGTGGGGAGATCACTGCAGAAGCCACTGTACCCAACCCAAGCAATAGGTAATGAGGGCCAGAAAGAGGAAGATGGCTTTGGAAATGGAAGCAGCCAAAGTTGGCCAGTATCCAAGAGGTATCCAAGTAGGCCAGTCAATGGGGCAAAGGAAATAGATGCCTAGGAGGAGTCCAAAGCCAGTTTTGAAGCCTGGACTCAGGAAATAATGGGAGTGTTTAACAGGAAAAAAAAAAAAAAAAAAGCAATTCTAGAGAAGGGCTTGTTTTAGAGGAAGGATAATCTCAGTCTGATAGTTACTGTGAGATAGGTCAGGTCCATTTAAGGTGGAGGAGAATCTGCACAGAAGAGAGAGGTGAAGGCTTCGCATAAATGGCTAAAGGTGAAGAAACACAGAAGGACCAGCAGACAGCTTTAGACCATGCCCACCTTTAGGTGGAGGATAGAGACACAGAACTCGGGGGAGGAAAGGGAGAGGGAACTGAATCACAGTAACCAGCCTGAAAGGCAGGAGAGAATTCCAAGGCACTGACCGCAGTCCTAGTGCTGGTGGCCTCAAGATGTACCGCAGAGGGCACTGGTCATCCTGGGTCATGGGGCAGGGGCCTGGGACACACTGCAGCCTGAGAGGCTGAGAAGCCACAGGGAAGGTGAAGATGGGGAAAGAGACTGACCGGGGCGAGGCCCAGGTCAAAGGTGACTCTGTTCATGGGTGATGGGGATGCGGGAGCAGAGCAGACTGGGAGAAGGAAAAACGCCCCAGAGAAGAACAGACAATTAAACAGCTCTGGCTAACGCTCAGAGCTGGAGGTAGAGAAAAAAATAATAATAAAAGTGGCCTTGCTTTTCTTCCTTTCCCACCTACAGAAAACCTGTTTTTGTATTGATTTGCCTCTTCTTAAAGAGGAGCATTTATGTTACCAGGCGTACCTCCAACTTGGCACAGAACCACAAGTCACAGTGAACAACAGCCAGCGCTTTTCTGAAGCCTTCTATTTTAACAAAGCAGTGGTGCTGTTTGGCCGAGAGGGCTGCCCGTATGTACACTGGCTGGGGAAAGGCCTAGAATCCCAACTGTCTGTAAGCCAAGTTTCCAGCTTTATTATTACTGAAAGCATCCCTTTCAGCAAGTTACAAAGTCAAACCGCGTGCTGGCTAAGGGCACCTGAAGCGGCCAGCAGAGGTTCAGTGGCTCTCCCCAGCCAATCCCAAGACTTGGTAAGGATTTTTATTTTGGTTGTGCTGAGCTTACTGTAACTGGGGCGGCCGAGTTGCTATGGTGATTTGTTCTCAAAACAAAGCGCTTTGCTTCAATGCATTGAAACAGCCGATAAATCTACTTAATGTTGACTTGATCATGACATTAATTCTAGTTGAGACAGCACCCCCACCCCCGACCTCACCCCCGCTCCCATGAGGACTTGGGTATAGGAATCTGAAGCGGTCCAAGAAGGCATTGGCTAAAAAAAATAATAATAATGCAACTTGGCTTTTTAAACCTGGGGCTCTACAATTGACAGAGTTGAAGGCTGCTGGCTTGCAGCCTGGAGAGCTGCACCCTGGGGGCGGCCTGCAGCTGGGGGAAGGTTCGTCCTGGAGCAATTATGTAGTTAATTGCTCCAGTGTGGGCCTAGGTTGAAGGTTGTGACTCACACTTGGAGCTCACCCCTCCGTGCAGGTGGGGCGGACAGGATGCAGGATGCAAGGACTTCAGCTGCAGCTTCCCGTTCCTCTGGTACATCTGCGAGTCCTCGCCCCGGTCTGCCCTTGAGGTGTGGGAAAGGCAGATCTCAGCTCCTCCGCGCGGGCCCTCTTGGTCTCACCAGTAGGGGTCCCCATTGAGTCACGAGTCCTGAACTGCTGAGGCCGGAGTCACCGGACACCGTCAGGATGACTGCGCTTTGACTGGGGTGCCTCTGCCTCTGATTTCTTGCCTAACCCCGTAACATGGGAGAGAAGAAAAAGGAGATGCCTGACTTCCAGCGTGACTCATTCATTATAAACAAAACGGAGGACAGATTCACTGCCTCTTATCGGAACCGAGTATGTGCCCCAGGACAAGCGTGAGTCAGAACAGAAGTCCTGAGCCTTGTGGATCAGAGCATTCCCCCCCCCCTGCAGCCCCACCTCCCCAGGAAGAGGTGCACTGGGGGTGTAGCGCTGTGGGATTCTTAAATCCTATCAGAGACCCCACATTGAACCCTGGGCTTCTAAGTGAGTCAAATCCCCTCAAAACCAAGAAGCCTTCCAAGTTAAAGATAAAAATTGGCCATATCTACAAAGAAACTCATTTTGGAGTGGACAGAAATGTCTGTGATCTTAGCAATGATGATTTCTCAGCATATGTCAAGAATCAACAAAGGACACTTTAAATATGTACAGTTTACTCTATGTAAATGATACTTAAATGGTTTGGGTTTTTTTTTTTTTTTTTTAAGAAGAAATAGCGGGGCTGGGGTGGTAGCTCAGTGGTGGAGCGCTTGCCATGCAGGCATGAGACACTAGGTTGGATCCTCAGAACCACATATAAAAATAAACAAATAAAACAAAGATATTGTGTCCATCTACAACCCCAAAACAACTCGCAAACTGGCGGAGGTAAAAACACCTAGCCACAACCCGTCTTCAGTGTGCTGTGTCTTGAAGCTCCAGGTAGCTCTTCTCTTTCCATCCATAGCCATGTCTGCTTGTGTGTGGGTGCAAACCCATAAAAGACACTGGCCTGCAGGGATCCCGATGTTTTATCATGGAACACTGATCCCAGTCTCCCAGAGCATGTGTTACTTATTTTTTCACTTAAGACCCCACTCTCCAAATGGAATGGTAGCAGCAAGAAGGGGTGAAGCCCAGGTTGGCAACCAATTTGGAGTGGTGGTGGTGGGGAGATGTTAGGTAGCCAAGAAAAAGAAGCACCTTCTGTGGACTCTGCCCCACCCCACCTCAGGCAGCCACGGGGTGGAGAGGGCTGTTTGTGCCTTCGTGTTCCAGGGGAGGCAAGTCGGGTCAAGTCCACAGCATGACTGCACTCAAGAGCTGACTGTCAGCGGTGCCTGCAAAACACGCACAGGAGAAATGACTTCACGCTTGGAGACCAGCTTACCAGCAAGCATATGAATTTAGGGGAAAACGAACACAGGACTTAGATGGAAAGCAAAACAATAACAAAAAATGAAGTAGTTTGGCAAGTGGAGTCACTCAAAGAATGAGCAGTCACCAGCAGAGGGACGGGGGTTCAGATTTTTTTTTTTAATATAAATAACCTCAATTGGGAAAATATGAACATGTGTCTGTGCATGAACCTCCTATGACTTCCTGAAAAGTATATGGGATTTTTCTCCATTTGGATAAAATGGCCTTAGGGGGCAGGAAAAGGAACTTTTCCTTTCTCCTTCTGGAGGTATGCTCTTGCTTATATATCTGCTTTTGATGGCTAATCTTATGGGAAAGGTCTGTATTTCTTTCATTTTGACGGCTAATTTCATCCCAAAGGACTTAATTATGTCTTTCATTTTCCCCTTTGGTTTCTAATATGACCAGCATTAGACCCTGCTGCTGTCTTTTGGCAAAGAAATTCAAGGTTTGTGTCCAAGCCATCTGGAGAATTTGTCGTTTTAACAAGAGGGCCATCTATGTGGGAGGGCTTTGTTAGTCTCCTAATTGCTCAATCAGTGTGTGTGTGGGGGCGGTGGTGTGCATGCACATATGCTGCCTCTCCAGATTCTGTACACTCTTTGAAGGTATGTCCTTGCCATGTGGATGTCCTCAAGCGCAATGCCTATCAGTGTCTGTAATTCCCAAAGATAGTCTCAGATTACAACTTCTTTTGACATATGCCATAAATACATTCATACTTTTTAGATCGATCTTTTTGCTATAGAAAACACTGTCCAGAGAAAATATGTTCTCAACTAGTCTTTCTCTTGAAATCCAAAAATTAGTATTTGGAAAATCATGTCTGTTTATTCAACAAGCATTCTGAAGTGCCTACTCTGTGCCAGAACAGCAGAGCCCATCCCATAGATCAGAGTCAACAGGTCGTTGTTTTCTCCAGGCCCTAAAGAAACCAAAAAACAGAGCAAGCTTTTGTATTTGTAATAGTGGAATTGCAGTAACAGTTACTTATTTAAAACAATGACAACTAACTCATTGCCTGGAAGTAGCCTGTGTTCGCAGCACTCCAATATGCATTACAGAGCTCCGCGGTGCTATAAGCATGGGTTACAGAAGTTGCAAAAGGATACTTGGTGGCAAACTGCCAAGCAAGACCTTATTTCACATTTAATGCCTCGTAGGAACAGGAGAGGAGTCTTTGGAGCAGACAGGAAAGTTCAGTTGTTGTGAAAAGCAAGGAATCCATGTCCTCTGTTGCTGGCTTTACTGAGCCGGGTCTGGGTGCCGTCCGGAAATGGAAGAGAATATTTACAAAAGAAAATACATTCTTCAGGTGGGTGTTTTGTAATGTACTCCTGAGAGCTGTTGTGGAGATAAGTTTCATAATGGGGCCTTTTAGAACAAGCTCTGAACCTTCCATCTGTCCCTTTGAATTGAATTAGTCAATCTGTGGTCCAAACTCAAACCTCCTGTGTTTCTTATAATTACTAACCTTATTTCCCTCATCTTAGTCTAACTTCTGTTTAAAATAGATGCTTTTATAATTGGCCCCCTGGTACTTAATAGTCCACAAAACATGCATTGATCCATGCATGAACTTCTTTGTTATTTTCAATGAAGATAAAACTCCTAAAACTTCCCCTCCCCCCATTGCCAAAAAAAAAAAAAAACCACAAGGACCTTACAAGAAATTAAAACATATATCAACCCTATATATCCATGTTCATTTGATCTCCCTCCTTCTCCCAAGCCAAAGTGAACCCTCATCCTGAGTTATGTGATTAATATTCCCTGACATTCTTTTCTATAGGATCTTATCGAGTCTCCTTTGTGGGGGCTGGGGATGTAGCTCAGTTGGTAGAGTGCTTGCCTCGCATGCACAAGGCCCTGGGTTCAATCCCCAGCACCACAAAAAAATAAAAATAAAAGTCTTCTTTGTGTTATATGTATTAAGTATGTGTATGCATACATGTTGTTTTAACTTTATTTTTAAAAAAAAAGTGTAATTGTAGGGTTTACTTATATTGGTAAGATCCACCCTGGTGATGCATGTGGCAGGCATTTGGTTTGGCCTTTCTATAATATTTCATTGTATGAATATATCAGAATTTATTCACCAGCACTCCCTTTCCTGGTTGTCTAGGTTACTCATAGGTTCCTGATATTATGAACTGTACTTTCATGAACATTCTTACATCTATCCAGTCTTATCCATGTGCAATCTAGGAGTGAAATAGTTAGGTTAAGGGTTACATTCAACTTTAGAGGACAGTGTCAAACTGGGTTTTTCTGTGTGTTTTTACTGGCGCATTATAGTTTTATATAGCAGATATATAATCATATATACATGGAATACAATTCCCCGTTTCATTCCCCAGTACTTCCTCTTTCCTCCCCCTCCTCCCTCACCTGTTCTCCTCCCTCTACTCTCCTGGTCTGCCTTCTCTTTATTTATTGCTTCTTTTTAAATTGGTGCTGTATAGTTATACAAAAAGGTGGAATTCACCGTGGTACATTCGTATGTGTTCATAGCATAATTTGGTCAATTTCATTTCACAGCTCTTTCCTTTTCCTGTGCTTCCTCCCTCCCCCTCTACTCCACTGATATATTTTCCTGGGATCCACCCTCCTTTTAATTTTTTTTTCTTATTTTGCTCTAGCTTTCACATATAAGCAAAAAAAAAAAAAAAATCATTTGGCCCTTGACTTTCTGAGCCTGGCTTATTTCACTTAGCGTGATGTTCTCCAATTCCACCCACTCATTCACTTTCCAGTAAATGCCATCGTTCCATTCTTCTTTATAGCAGAGTGAAACTCCCTTGCATAGATATACCATATTTTCTTCATTCCTTCATGTGTTGACAAGCACCTGGGCTGGTTCCATAACTAAGTTATTGTGAATTGTGTTGCTATAAATGTTGATGCGGCTGCATCCCTATAGTGTGCTAACTTTAGATCTTTTGGATAAATATCAAGGAGTGGGATAACTGGGTCATCTGGTGGCTCATTTACGGAATATCCATACTGCTTTCCAAAGTGCTTGTACTAATTTGCAGTCCCACTGACAATGTCTGAGTGTACCTTTCCCCCCTCATCCTCATTTTTTCCTTATTATGCCTGGCAGGTTGATAAGATGCTTTGGGTCAAGTTCCCAAAACAGACCCTGGGTCACATACCATTAAAGCTAGAAGAAGCTTTAGAGATAGGAATGAGGAACCTAACTAAGGCTTATTCACTCCAACAACTATTAATCAAGACTAACTTGGTGCTAATTATTGCCCTAAGCCCTGGAAATTTATTAAAGAATGAGTCAAACAAGACCTCCACTTTCCTGGGGTTACCGTCTCATCTTGGGAGGGAGTCAGGATGACAGTGTGATTAAGGTACTATGAAAAATACACAATGGTTAGATAGGGAGAGCAAGAAACAGAAAGCTACTGTTCTTGGGCCTCCCTTATTCTCCTTTGCCTTCCTGGGAGCAATGCTGAATAGTAGGGCATCTACAAGCACTCCAACTCCCATCTGAAAACACCTTCCACCACTGCCTGGATTGCTATCTGATATGCCACTCAAACCCACTAGTGCAGCCCCAGCACCCAAGCTAAGCTAACATGATTCAGAGAGCCACGGAACTATCAGTACACAAGACTGGATATGTTCTGAAATCCACTGGTGTCAAGTGTGCCCTCCCTGAGCACCCGCTGTGTGCCAGGGTCCTGTGGCAGGTACCAGGGCTACCAAGATGAAAAAGGTCAGTGCTTATGATCTCCAGGAACTCACAATACCCTGGGCAAGGAAGAAACACATGGTGACACTCTCAAAGCACTGCATGTGCTGTGATGGAGACGTGAATGGAATTCACTGGGGAACCCAGAAGAGAAATGTCTAGTCTGGTCTTGGAA